TGTGAAAACTCAACGGTTTGACACAAGCCCTAAAAATTATTTTACTCAGAATTTTGGTCATTTTTCAGCAAAAATATATTTTAGGGTAGAAGGTTAGATCTAACCTGTTTTCTAACCTCTTTTCTACCCCAGTTATTTTATAAGCGTTTTACATGGTAAACGTTATGAATTCGTGAGACTCTAAACAGTTTTGTAGCTTCTATTTCTTCGCTGAGGATATCGAATGTTTTAACTATGCCGAAAGTCTCTTTATATTTCTTCTTGACGTCAGATAGAAGGAAATCTTCTGCTGTTGGATAGTTTTTGTTCAGAAATTCTAACATGTCCATTTTATCTTCTGCTGGTTTCTCTGCTTCTTTCTTTAAGTCAGCATAGTCGTTTCTCATACGTTCTATCTCTTTGACGGAGTAGTTATATTTCCTCATTGCTGCTTTACATTTTGAACATTGCGGGTTCATTTTTGCGTTATACATTGAAACCTTACCTGCTAGAACAACTAAAGCGTCAATTGCTCTCTTCATCTCAAACATAGCGGGTCTTATTTGTTTGTTCCATACTTTGCCTCTTCTATCTTTATCTCTTATCTGCCATACACATTCAGCAACTAACGAAACAAAGTTGTCGTAGGTCTTAAATTCTTCAGATTTATATATGTCAGAGATGTTCTTATATACCATGTCGCAATCTTTGTCCATAACCTTATGGTTGCAATGAAATCCTAGAAACTCATAGTTTACCTTTCGTATGAACTTCTTTATTTCTACTGAGTCAGTTGCTTTGACTTCAATTTCGTCGAATTCAGGAATAGTGAGCTTTTGTTGTTGGATTTCAGGCAATTTGGGTAAATGTTCCACCAGATCCTGCATGTCGTAAAGATACTGTTCATTTTGTTCATCTTTCGCACAACAGTCCAAAGTACTTGTTAAAAGTTCCTGCTTTATCTTCTGGATTTCTGTTTCAAAAGTATATGAAGAAGGAATGAAGCTTTTCATTTCTACTAACATAGATGTTGGATTCATGACTAACGAGTTTGGTGCTGTTGTTGTTTGAAGTGTTGTTGCTTCGACTGACATTTCTGTTCTTTTATACAAAATAAAAAAAAAATAAAAAATAAAACTAACTTTATTTTTTATTTCGGGAAAATTCATGAAAATTCAAGAGGGTAGAAATGAGGTTAGAAAACAGGTTAGATCTAACCTTCTACCCTAAATTATATTTTTGGGTCCTTTACGCTCATTACGATGAAGAAGTCTTGACAAAACATTTACGAAGAAGTCATGACAAATTCAAGAGGGTAGAAAACAGGTTAGAAAACAGGTTAGATCTAACCTTCTACCCTAAATTATATTTTTGGGTCCTTTACGCTCATTACGATGAAGAAGTCATGACAAAACATTTACGAAGAAGTCTTGACAAAACATTTACGATGAAGTCTTGACAAAACATTTACGAAGAAGTCATGAAAATTCAAGAGGGTAGAAATGAGGTTAGAAAACAGGTTAGATCTAACCTTCTACCCTAAATTATATTTTTGGGTCCTTTACGCTCATTACGATGAAGAAGTCATGACAAAACATTTACGAAGAAGTCATGACAAAACATTTACGAAGAAGTCTTGACAAAACATTTACGAAGAAGTCTTGACAAATTCAAGAGGTTAGAAAACGTGTTAGAAAACGTGTTAGATCTAACCATCTACCCGACATTCTCGTCAAATACAAAAAAATACAAAAAATGACACTTTTTCATTATATAACTGTTATTTTTTGACGAAGTGAACGTTAACACTTCGTCAAAAAAATCCCTGAAATCATGTCTTTTATACAAAAAAATGAAAAAATGACACTTTTTCATTAGATAACTGTTATTTTTTGACGAAGTGAACGTTAACACTTCGTCAAAAAAATCCCTGAAATCATGTCTTTTATACAAAAAAATACAAAAAAATGAAATAAAACTAACTTTATTTTTTCTATCTTAAGGAAATTCATGAAAATTCACGAGGGTAGAAAACAGGTTAGAAAACAGGTTAGATCTAACCTTCTACCCTAAATTATATTTTTGGTGTAAATTTCATTGACTGACTGACTGACGGCACAAAGTGGCATAACGAAAACATTTACGAAGAAGTCTTGACAAAACATTTACGAAGAAGTCTTGACAAATTCAAGAGGTGAAAAAAGAGGTGAAAAAACAGGTGAGATCTAACCTTCTACCCTAAATTATATTTTTGGGTCCTTTACACTCATTACGAAGAAGTCATGACAAAACATTTACGAAGAAGTCTTGACAAAACATTTACGAAGAAGTCATGACAAAGTTATGAGGGTGAGAAAACGTGTTAGAAAACGTGTTAGATCTAACATGTTAACATAAATTATATTTTTGGTCCGGGAACAACTTTCTCTCAATTGGAGCTGGGGCATACTCTTTGCGTAAACGGTTCAGACCTTCTTCGAACTCTTGGTCTCTCTTCGATTTGGATTGAGATTGGAATTGCTGGGGTGGAGCTTGCTGGAACATCCAAGGGTTGGGGCAGTAAGGCATAGGCAGAGGAGGGTAGTTCGGGAAGCCTTGTGGTGGGTAGTAACCTTGAGGTGGAAATTGGTAGAAATTCGGAGGTACTTGCTGGAACTGAGGTTGCTGAGGAGACTGTTGTGGTTCTTTAGGTTCCTCTGGTTCGGGAATGGACTCGGTTGGTGGAACGTCAGTCATCTGTTTGTGTCCTGTCGGAAGGAAAAACTTTTTCTGTCGGAAGGAAAAACTTTTTCTGTCGGAAGGAAAAACTTTTTCTGTCGGAAGGAAAAATTTTTTCTGTCGGAAGGAAAAATTTTTTCTGAATTTCGACCAAAAAGTTCTCAATTTTCGAAAATTTGAATGGTTTACGGACGGACAACTGGAAAATTTTTTCTTGTCGTCGGGAAAAATTTTTTCTGTCGGAAGGAAAAACTTTTTCTGTCGGAAGGAAAAACTTTTTCTGTCGGATGGAAGGACTCGGAATGCCAGAAGGATTTGACGAGGCAATTTACCTAATTTAAATTAACGACTGCGTAAAAGACTACTTGCGCAAGGTCATGAAGCCCAAGGTCAAGTTCACCGCTATTTCTGGAAGGGCTGCCTTGAATCTCGAGACTTCGACTGGAATTCCAATTCAAATACCAGAAAACACTCCTTTCGACGACATAAAGGACGCCAAAAGAGAAGCTCTTGTTAAGTTCCTAAACAAACGTCCTTGGATAAAAATACCAAACAAGGAGAACCCTCTACCCCATATGAAATTGGCAATTCAGTCTCTCCTTCGCTTCTCGGGTCAGCCATTCTACATAACCTGTGAAGGCGACATCCAACCAGTTCAGTAAACCTTAACGTTTAACTTCACTTTTTTATGTTTTTTGTGAAAGTTTTAAAATAAATTGTTTTCATGAGTTTTAGACCATGTTAGAAATGAGGTTAGAAAACGTGTTAGATCTAACCATCTACCCTAAAAGTATTTTTCAATACTTTTTCAGCACTTTTCCGTAGTTATATATGAAAGACAATTCGAGATAAAAGTCATAGTACAATGGAATAATATGTTGCACACCATTTGTTGTGAACCAAACTTGAAAGTCAGAGAAACTGTTACTAGGTGGTTCGTAGAATTTAGAAGCAAAGTCATAAAAGTCCTTACCAATACATAGAAAACTATTGTTGCTTGAACTGAAACTTGCATGACACATAACATTTTGAGGGTCAAACACGTTTCTATAAACTGTCAAATCTGCTGGTGGAAGTATAAATTGAAATGGACCATCTGGTGGTAATGGTTCGTTCTGGTTTAGTAACCGAAGAAATTGTGCCCAAGAACGTTTGTCTACTTTCCAAAATAAAAACTCTGTATCTCTTGGAGGGTTAATTTCAATCTTTTGAAATGAAACGGTGGAGTTCATCTTGTCATATTCTAGTTTCAGATAGTATGTTCCATTTAGTAAAGAGTCGTATTTTTCTTGAAATTCCCAATAATATTTGTTCATTTGAGTTTGAAAGTCATTTAGAGTTTTCTCAAGACTTTCGTCTGAACGAACTGTAAAGATCCTCATTTCGTCAAATTTGTCTATAAGACCATCAGAACCTTTATACTGCCCATGAAAATATACTGCGAACATAAATGCGTTAGTTCTATTTGAAAACAAAACTCTTCTAAATCCTATTGCCTTTGCATCTGAAGGACTTTGAAGCCAACGAATTGGATAGTCAAACCTGTATACTCGGGATGAAATTTCTTCATCTGAAATAGTCCTACCAGCATTTGTAAAGATATAGTCTAACGGTTTTGTATCTGCTACTTTTGTTCTTTGTTTTTCAACCTGAAGCATTTAATATATGTAAAAATATATTGTTTTAAAATGGTATGCCATTTCATATTTCTCATCTAACAAACAAGTTTCCCAACGGTCTTCTCCAACAAACTCAGCGTACATTTCAAATAAAATAAAAAAAATGTCACTTTTTTAAAATAAATTTTTTATTTCATGCAATGTTTTATTTCTGTGCCGTCTTCAAGTATGCCCCAATACTTACGCTTGGAGAGGACATGAACTTCGGTGAAAATTTTGTCCAATTTGAATCGACCCATCTTTTCACCGACCATACCCATTTCAATGAGTTTGTTGTACCCTTCTTCGTTCGTCATGAGTGCGTCAATGTTCTCATAGTAAACCTTCACTTTGGATTTGACTTCGGAGAAGAATTTGTTGTAGTTGTCAAGGACTGCCTTTGCGAACTGAGGGTAAGACCAATGTTCGACAATAGGTTTTAATGTGGTTACTAAGCCATTTTGACCTTGAGTGAATTCGTACTTCAAAACAAAAGGAGAAAACCTTTCAACAAAGTTGTCGACCTTCTCATAATGTTTACTCTTCATCTCTTGAGGTTTCTTAATGGAATATCCCCATGTCGAATTCATAAGCAATTTGAGTGTCATTGCAAGTTTGGGGTTTGAAGCTTTCCTAATATCATACAGTTGTTGTATGACTTTTCCAACTGTATAGTTCCTTCCCGGGAACTCACCATCTTCGTTTGGAATTCCAGTCGGAATATATTGGACAAACCTCATGTACGCAGCGTTAAGGTCGACATAGTATATCTTTTCGTTTGAGTCGAACTTGTCGCAACCAATTGGTCCAGTTTGTGGAAATTCAAGTGAGTCTCTTATCTTCTGAGAAACTTCTCCTGTTATCTCATAAACATCGTCGAAGCAACCTGTTTCATATAAAACCTTCTGACCTAACTCAGATGCTCTCCAATACAATTTGACGTCAATTGGATGTCTCAATGGAAGTTTGTTTATAGCATCTTGAAGTTCTTGCAACCTCATTGGAAGTTCTTCTGGTTCAGGTTGGTATCCGAACAATCCAACTCCTTGTGGAATTGTGTACTTCTTTTGTACTAGAACTTTGTCTGGAACAACTTTTGGTCTTGCTAACAGTGAAAAGTTTGTTTCGTCTTTTGGTACAAAAGTTTCTGTCAGCTTGTCATCTGGAATTGGTTCCAACAAACCTTTCTCGAAAAGAATGTTTACAGCTCTGACAATGTTGCACTTGCCTTTTCCGAACAATGGGTTTGTAAGACTTTCGTTCAACATGAAGTGGTTGTGGACAATTACAATCTTCAACCATGGTAAGTCTTTGTCAACAACATAGTCGTCATGTGAAGAACCTTTAGCTGTAGGTATGTTGACTCGGATATTGACATTTGCCAACGGTGCAATTTTTGCCAATTGACCTCTGAGAATGTACCTTGTCTTCACACATGACTCAAGATACTTCATCTTCTCTTCTGAAACAAGACCAGAGTTCCTGAGACATGTAAGAATACAAGGTTCATTGACAATTGTTTCAATTGAATTGTAAATTCCATACCTTGTCAAGTCAATGTCAGACTTATTTATGAACGGAAAGTATCCAGCATGTTGTCTGACTGCTTGAGGGTTAGGTTGGTACCATTCGAACTTGACACTTGCAATTCCTTCAATTGCATTCAAAATGTCTGAGTCGGAGTCAACCATTTGTTCTCTCTTTGTAGTCTTGAAAGCGTCAAGAAGTTTTGCGGCTGTTTGTTCATTGCCATGTGCATAGTAAATGTGACCATCCAAATCTGTTATGGTCAATCTGAGATTGTGTCCTTTCTTATTTCCGTCTTGTATGGCAGCAAGTACACCCATGAAGCCTTCTTTGTTCTTTCCTTCGTCAAAGTTTACTGTAAAGGTTCGACCAGATGTAATTTGACTTCTAACTTCACGGTACTTTTCATATGCATATCTTGTTCTTTCCATGGGAGCATGACCATCCTCTGCACTACCTTTTTTCCTTCTCAAAGGATGCAATTGTTCGTCATGTTTCCAGTAGAATCTGGCAAAGCCGTCGTGTCCTTCAACTTGAGGTTCACTAACATCGAAAGGCATGTCCATAAGACGTTCTTCTTCTAACCTCTCTAGTCTGTTTGGATAATTTGCACGTGCTGTTTCCAAATCCATTTCGTAGCGAAGACCAGACAATTTGTCATAGACTTTTATGGGTCTTCCCTTCCTATATTTAAACTTCTTCGAAACTCTCCAACCATATCTTTGCAACTCTGCTTTTATTCTAGCAGATTTTCTATCCATTCTATATGGGGGCATTTTTATAAAAATAAAAAAATATTTTTTCTTTACTTTACATAACCGCCTGCTGCCATAAGTCTTTGACGCCAACCCATACCAGCTAATGAAGGTTGACTTGGTTTAGTTTCCAAACTAAACTTTGGTTTTGGTTTATCTTCAGTTTTTGGTTTTTCTTCTTCTATCGGTTTTTCGTCACTTTTCGGTTTCTCTGACTTTACTTCACTTGCAGGAACAGTTGTGTCGTCAACATCTTCATAAATATCATATGCCATTTGTTTTTGTTTTCCTTTCAACTTTTTGTGTTTGTTGTAAAGTTTAGAATATTTCGACTCTAAGTCAATGAGATGTTCTATAATGAACTGTTGGTCAGTGAAGTAAACTTTTCCATCTGTTGTCTCGAAAGCTCCTTCAGACTTCAATATTTTATTTGTGAGAGTCTGTTTCTTTTTTGAGATACTAGCCGTTCCATTTTTATGAAAAGTGACTTTGTAGTTAGGGTTTGTATTTCCAGACCTGGCACTTTCTATTATTGAATTTTTCTCTTCATCTGTAAGTTCTTTGACAGGTTTTGACAATGGTTCTGAACTTTTTGTTTGTGGTGTCAAATCTACCGTTTCAACTTCTTCGGTCATTTCATCTCAGTAAAAAATTTTAGTTTGGTTTGTTTTCAACTGGTTGTTGAGGTTTTTTAAGTCGGTCTAAAACTTCCTGAGGTATAGGAAGAACTTGACAAACACGTTGTGTAACTGCTGGAAGCCGACAAATCCATCTTGAACCCATTTGTCTCAATGCTGTATTGTTCATTTCATCTCAGTAAAAAAATTTACATTCCCCACGTTTGAGGCGGTTGCGGTTGGTTATTGTTTACCCACTGTTGTGCATGGTTATATCCTCTGTTAAAGAATCTTTCACCTTGGTCCATATAGTGTCCTGCTTGGTTATAGTAGTCATTTGCTTTGTTATAATAGTTTCCTGCTTGTCTTCCTACATTGTCCATCCATCCTTGAACTTTTCCTCTTGTTTCAGGATTTGGAATAAGATTTGTTGCATCTCGTGCTACATCCAACCTTTCTGTACAGTTTGTATAATAGGTTGTGCTTTCTCTTTAAGTATACCTAATGTACTCAAAATCTTCCTTCCAACTCCAAATACACCTCTGGCTATTGTTCCACTGCGGGCAAAAATCTGGATGCAACTCCTGCTAATGCGCCAAATAAACCCATTTCTTATGGGTTAAAAAATGACGAATTCAAACAAGGACCCCTATGTTTCTAAAGCGACAAAGAAAGCACTCATGATAAAAATCTTTAGTTCAACACCAAATGCTTGGTTTATGGATATCTTGGAAAACATTCCGAGAGTTAGAACAGATGGACCACCATACTGGCTAATATTTGTCGGTCAAAACACAAGATACTGTGAAGCCATACCATTATGGTCCAAAAATATTTTAGATGTGAAAACTGCTTTGACAATATTCGTTGACAAATACCATCCAACAAAACTGACATCTGACTGTGAAAGTTCTTTCAAATCAAATGATGTAAAAAACTATCTGCGTTCAAAAAATGTAAACCAATATTTCATTGTCGACCAAAACCATTCTGCTCTTGGTGTCATTGACGGTTGTATAAAAATGTTAAGAGACTTAAACCAACCACAAGGTGGTGAAGCAAATGAAATGTCATATGACGACAAGTATAGACACTTCTCCATGGCAAAGATGAGACAAGTTTTAAATATTTACAATAACCGTAAACAAAAAGGTTTGGGAAACCACTCCCCCGAAGAAATGAAAAACAACCCTGACTTAGAGAAAGACTATATATTTAATAATTTAGTCAAAAGAGACAAACAAGAAAGAATGCCGGGCTTCAAACTTCAGAAAGGTGACAAAGTAAAAATAGAAATACCTAAACGCGACCCATATGAAAATACTATTGACTATGACAACAATGGGAACCCGACAGGTACTCACATTCGTGTTCGTAAAAATAGAAGAAAGTATACAAGAGAATATTATGAAGTTTTAGGCAAACATGGCAAAATGTACAGACTGCAAGCAGAAGATAAAACTACTATTGTCAGACCTCGTTTCAAACTTGTCAAAGTTCAAGGTGGTATACTTTCAAAGACAGTTCCTAACAAATATAAGACAACTCCTGACGAATATGCTAAAGAAGTTGAAAATGACGACTAAGCAATTCTATACCATGCGTAAACTGTCATGTAAGGTGGCATGTAGTCTTTACTTTGTCCCGTTGTTTGCGTATACCCTGAAACGCGATGTGTATGGTATCCTCCTCCTCAGTGTTATTCCAGTAACAATTTATAGCAAACTTAACGTCCTCTTTAACATCATATCCTTTACCTTTTGTCATTCCTGACCAATCCCAAAATCTATGACTATGCCAACCTGCTTGAGATGTACTTAAATCTATGTAGTGACTGTGTGCAGGTAAATTTTCACCTGAAATCGTTTTACTTCCACCTGTTTCCTTTGAAGAGTTTGCACAATACAAAAACCTGTCGACTATTTGAGTCCAAGTTCCAAAACCAAGTACTACTTCTGGTCTGGTAGAGTTCATTGAAACATATAATGAGCCAACCGGGTAAATAAGATTCGGCAAAATTTGTTTAAGCACATTGAGTTCCTGTCTTAGATGTATAATACTATTGTCATTAGACATCAAAGTATCTACAAGACTTGTTGCCGGTGGTATTGTTGGACCTTTACTTGGCAAGGTTGTGTTTAGTGTAATATCATCTGCTGTAAAAGTTGTAAAACTTGTATGTGTATGTCCAACGGCACTTTTCCTGTTTAAGGTTTCTTGTAAGTTTGTAATATTTGCAATGGTATGTGTATGTCCAACGTCACTTTTCCTGTTTAAGGTTTCTTGTAAGTTTGTAATATCAGATATAGAATGTATATGAGTCTTTTTAGAATATTCGTTTTCAGCTCTTGTCACTTCACTTGACATTTTATTGTCAACATATGTTTTGTCTGCTAGTTCAGGATGAGTATGTTCTTTTGTTGCATAAGCTTTGTTAGCTCTTTCTTCTTCTTTTGCTATTGCATCGTCTACATATTCTTTGTCAGCTTTGTTGTCAACATCTGCTTTCAAAAGAAGTTCATTTATAGGTTTCTCGTTTAAAGTTCCTTTTGTTGGATTTATACAGACAGTATTGTTCTTCTTGTCTTGAAATAGAAACTCATCTGTCATTGGGTTTAATGTAAGTTTTAAGTTTCCTTCTTTCAATGACTCAGATATCTTAGAATAGTTTGAAAAGTTTGTTGTGTTCTTATTTAGAGCTTGTATAATGAGTTGTCGGTTGTGTTGTATTTCTCTCATAGACGCTGTTTCATTTGACATTTTTATTCTAGATAAAATATGCTTTCAATAGAAAAAGAAAATTCTAGAGTTGCTACAACTAAACCATTAGATGAACTTTTTACTAATGTCGGTCAAAAGTTTGAGACAGAGACCGTAAAGCATGAAGGCTATCGTTTTGACTACCCGTTAAGATGGTTAAGAGACCCATCTGTCACAAAAGCTATTGGCTTTCGTAGAATGAAGTTCATTTCAGAAGCCATACATGGTTTCCCATTTACGGTCGGTTTTGAAGTTCGATACTATAACAAAGAAAAACGTATGTATGAGAAATTTGAACAAGGAAAACTTTTACAAGTTAGTTTGCTTGTAAACTTAGAAACAACTCTTCAAGCTTTTCAAGAAAAAATAAACGATATCTATATCGAATATGCAAACCAGTATAACATTGACGAAGGAGAATACCATCTCGATATTATTTATGACAGGAAAAATGCAACTGTTAAAATCAATAGAATAGAAGACCTTGGAGAAAACGTTTATATTTCTACAAAATATAACAACTTGGCATGGTATAGATTTATGAGGATGTTAAATCAGCCTGCAGAATATCCAGTACACCCGGACTTTTATGAAGTCGAAAACCCTAATGGAACATATGAAAATGTTTTCGACCCAGATGCTATTATCGTTCATGCTTCATTTTCTGGTGCACAAAACTCTTTCTTATGCTTGGCAAATGACTTTTACGAAAAACCTACAAAGTTATACGAACCACCAAGTGGAAGTATTTCAGACTTTCAAGTATGGTTTACTACAGATGGAAGAAAAAGAATAATTCCATTATACCATGCGTTTTACTTAGAACTTAGTTTCATATACAACTACTATCGAACGGTAAAAATATAATTTTTTAATACGGTTGAGGTGTTGGATTTGGTTGCCAACTTGACTGTGGTGCAGGTTCAGGCTGTTGTATAACAGGAGCTTGTTCTTCTGGTTCAGGGTCTTTAGGTATAAAACAAACTGACCTACCCTTTTACCAATATTTTTGACTCCGTTCCAAATTCCTCTTCCTACGGTTTTTATTCCATTCCATATACCTCTTCCAACATTTCGAAAGAAGTTTCCTATCTTACTGAAGAAACCCATTTTACTATATGTAAAAATCTAATGTCCGCCTAGTCTCTTACGTTTCCTGTTGAGTTCCATAGCATTCTTTAACTGGAGCTCATACATTCTGTTTCTCCTCTGGTAGAAAACATATTCTGGGTCAACTCCTGTGTTCGCGTCATCTGCATAAAGTTGTTTATATCCCACTTCAGGGTTTGTATAAAACTCTTTCCATCTCATATTTGCATACCATGGTGGCAAACCTAACGCAGCGTCATTTGACATGGCAGTTTGCATTTGTACATCTGTTGGCACTTGACCATAGTTTGCCATTGCAGTTTGTATTCTAACTTCATTTGGAATATTCTCTGGGTTTGGTTGTCCAGGTTGCTGTGCATTTGCTAAGTTCTGTGCGTCCATTTAATATTAGATAAAAATATCTCTTACGAGTACATATACTGAACATTTGCAGGCATTGGTTCATCTTCATATTCTCTGTATTTTTCTGCCACGTCAAATAAATAAATGACACAATGGAAAAAACCTAAAACAAGTAGTCCTATTTCAAACCACATTTACTTACTAGTAAAATTTCTTTGTTATGACACTTTCTCCGGTTTATAGGACCTCTCTCATATTCTATCTTGTCATATCTAAACTCATAGTCATGTATGTCCTCTAACCATCTCATAACGGTTTCCAAACCACTTTTATCGGATGTAAAGTAAAAGCATGGATGGTTATGTAAAACGTCTAAAGTTTCTAAAGAGTCTCTCAAAGTCCAGTCTACTTGGTATTGAAAATCCCATGTGTTATAGAACGGCGGGTCCACTATAAAGAAAACATTTTCCTTGTCTTTATATTTTTCATACAACTCTGTCCAATGACATCTCACAAACTCTATACCCTCAATATATTTTTCTATGTCCTCTTTGAAAACATTTGTATAGTTAAGATATAAAACTTTTGACATAAGTGTTTCAATGTCATGAACTCTTATAGAACCACTATATAATAGTCTAGCAGATATACTATCCCAGTCTATATATTCTGCTTTTTTCAAAACCTCTCTCACAATATTTTTCTTATCTAATGGTATACGTTCCATCTTACCTATAGGTATCTTTTCTTTTAACTCTTTCAATATTTTGTTAGTGTCTGGAATATGTTTGAGACGGTCCATATAGTTGTCGAAGTCATTGCATATAATCTTTGAGTCTGGGAATATTGTATGGCACAAATGGGATATATAGAAACTTCCACCGAACAAATCTACAAATGTTAGACCATTCGGTAGTTTCTTAAGTTCTCTCAATATAATATCTTTACATTTACTCTTATTTCCAAAGAACGGTAACGGTGGTTTTGTAAAATTCATTTATATATAATAATAAAAATGTTTTTTCCTGAAAAGTGACAGAAAAGTGACAAAACATGAAAACATATATAATTTGTGAAAAGTGAAACATTATATAATGTTTTCGACCCAGAAGAAGGCTTCTCAAAGTATACTTCCTTGGAACGCCTGTAACTTTTCCTGTAGCGACGATAGACCCTTACTTGTCCGGACAAAGTTATACTAAACATCTTCAGGGCTAGAGGGCACGAAGTGCCTGGAGGCCCCACTACCTTTTTTTTTTTTTTAAAGAGTAAATATAAAAGATTGAAAGAAAGAATAATAATAGGATTCTTGAATGCAACATTTGGAATGATGTTTCCAGTTGTAGATGTGTTAAGCAAAGAGAGATAATGATAGTTTCTTGAGTTTTGAGTTAAGCTTGTTGTAGATGAGAGAGAAATTTTGACGAGACTGAGGAACTTCATTTGGAATGATGTTTCCAGTTGTAGATGTGTTAAGCAAAGAGAGATAATGATAGTTTCTTGAGTTTTTGCAATTAACCATCCTCAATGACTATTGTTTTAATATAATTTTTAAATTTTTTAAAACTGACATTTTAGTTGTATATTTTTTCTAACAAAGGTACATTCACTAGGCGATAACAGTAAAATGGGATGAAAATATGATAAATAGCATCCCTATATAGTGCCAAACAATATTTATACGGGCCAAAAAAAATTGGCTAGAGATTTGGCGAGTTATAAAACTTAGAAAATTGAGAGGGATTTTTATTTTTGAATTTTTTTTGGAAAGTTAAAATTGCGATTAAAAATCGATTTCCAGGAGAACTAAGCATCTCATCATATATTTAAATCGATAAAAATATTAAATAATAGTTGAATAGTATAACAACGTGAAATTATGGCTGAATCTACAGAAAAAATGAACATATTTGACATTTTTGAAAATTCATACGTTAGATGGTGACAGACTCATAAACTATACTTTAGCTAAGATTGATATATGGTTTCAACAACACATGGTTAAAATTGTAAAAATATTTTAGATTTCAAAAAGATATATATGGTAATATAATGGAACAAAGTCAACAAATAGCATGTTAAATATGTTATAATTAACTTTTTATTAGATCCAATAGTAGATATCGAATGGTTTCCAGCTTTATGGTTAAATATTTCTTTTCGAGCTTCTCTTTAACTGTTGTATTAAGGTTGTAAATTTTTGATGCTAGAAACTATGGAATCTTCTTTGCTGCTGCATTTTTCTTGAGAGTTCTTGCAATTTCGAATAGATCTGCGCATTGTATGAAATGAGGCTTTAAAATATCTTGAAAACAGAATAGGACTGCTTTTCCAAAGGAATGCTTACTTGTAAATCAGAGAGTTTCAAAATTGAGAGCAAGATTATCATCATAACTTTCGATTTTGCTGCGAAAAAGGAAGACAAGTAATTAACAAATCATTTACTGTTGTTCATTAAAAGAAGAAAACTTTGATAACAACTAATGATGATAAAATCAAGCTATCTTTTAATATTTTAAATTGATAAGACATTCAAAATATTTGAATGGTTTAAAATATTTTCTTTTAATTTCTATAAGATATTATCATGATTATATAATAAAATTTAAATTTTTATTCAAAAAGGCAATATTTCAAACTTTTAATTTCAAAAATCTTAATTCTGCAATAAGTGTATTTAATTGTAGCAAATTTAATGATCCTTCGTCATGCTTAGCAATTTGGAACTCATAAATTAATGATTTCTTCAAGTAAAATTCTGCATTATTTCAAAAGTCAATAATTCTCTAGTAACTTTTCTTCAAACCCTAACCATTATATTATATGTATAATGGAGAATAATTGCAAAGAAAGATAGCCGAATTTACTGGGTAGTTCTTGTGATGCGAAATAATTGCAAATTAACACATAGTTTTAACAGCATCAATCTCTTTTTGCTCTCATTTAAATGCATTCGCACACTTTAATTTTGAAATATAAGAGTTTTGGAAATTATCAAATTTATCTGCTCAAATACTATAGATCTTCATAAGTGTTAATAGAATCACCAGCCTTACATATAGTGTTTAATATAATGATGCACATCATACTGGGATTTATTCCTTATTCATCTAGTTATTATAAGATTTACAACCCCATGAAAATTTAAAATTTTGTCAAAAATAGTGAATGTACCTTTTTTCTAACACAACTATCAATAAATTGTAATATCATTATACTATATATTAATATGAATTTTTATAGAAAAGCTTTATTTTTTTCTCAATTTTTAATTTCATTTCAGTCTCTAAACTTTCTTACTATGTAAAAACGTATTATTATAGTAATAAAATAAAATACATGTTTATTCGATCTCGTATTTCAAAAAAATAAAATTACTTATATAAAAAGATTCTCTTTAGTCAACTTTCTTTTTGAATCTCTAATAAGTTTTTACTGTTGCTTCTATATATTAAGTATTGATTCTTGTAGTAAAGAAAATCCGGAACGTTTATTTATTAGAATACTCGAACTTTGACTTACATATTACTAATTGTAATTATTTTCAAGAGCCATTTCTATTACTCCTACTTGTTCGGCTTAAAATCTGCTATATTGTTAAGATAAACTAAGTCTAAATTTTGAACCATTTTTTGAAGTTTAAAGTGTAATACATATCGATTTTTTATCCGAATTTAAGAATTGCTTCAAAGTTTTAGCGTGAAATCGTGCATTTTTTCTAATGAAATTGTTATTATAAGATAAGCAATCTGAGTTTTTTTGAATAATATGTCACTACACATGATAGAGCGTTACGTGCTGAAAAGTTACGCTTCGTTCTGAAAGTGGTAATGAAGTTTTATTAGAATTCATCAAAAAAACGTATGAAAATAATCGTATGTCAAAATGTGAGCACTTCTCAAAATTTGCTCACATTTTGACTATTTTTGTGAGATCTTCCTCACAATTTTTTGACAAACGTACAAAAAAAGTGCCAAAATGTGAGCAAATGTGAGCAATTTTTATATCTCAGCTAGGAGCATCCATACCGAAGCATTTTACCAATGTCTCGTAGATTTTTTTACAGTCTTTGCATTTTTTTGCAAGAGCGAGGATGTTTTCTTTATGATTCATTAAAAAAAATGAAAAAAATCCCGCCAAAATTTCCCGCGAAACCGCCTCTTGTCTCAAAATTCATTTTATATCCCGGCATGGCGCCAAAATACAACATACTCATCATATACATATATTCATATTTTTTATTATATATTTATAATCAGCATATATCTCCTTTAATAGTCTCATATAGAGCGCTGTGCTAAACGCACCTTTGGACACCCTATATATTCAATATCAATGCCAGTAAAATACATTGCAATATAATGAAGTATATTTTTTCCTGAATCATCTTTGAAATGGTAATCATCTTTATTATCATAGTAAAAATTATGATGTGCAATAAATTTGGCAGTGTATAGAAGTCCGTGGTAATCTTCATCAAATTCAGTCAAATTAGAAAAAATGGTTTTCCAAACATAGGGGTAATCAGAAGTTTGAACAATGAAATCTTCTATATCATTTGTTTGATCATAACGTATTAAAAATGCTTGGATATTATCGTATTTTATGCAATAGCGGACCTTAATTTTAAGGTTATGTTCGTTCATGAGATATGTAACGAAATCTATGTTGTGAGACATAATTGCATATTTCATGCATTTTTTATCTGGTTTGTGACATTTCAAACATTCACTCATAATGTCAGGATTTCCTCCTAAAAATGAAAGTTGAAGACACAATTCTGTGATTTCTGCAGAGAATTTTGTTCTCAAAAACTTGAAACAATTAACTGAGCCGTAATAACAACATGCTTCAAGTAGAGATAATTGACTTTCCACACATGGAAGTTCATTAAAATTGATGCTATTATATCGAGAAAATCCGTTTTTTTCTGTAAGAGGAGCAAGTAATTTCACATCATCATCATCATCAATAATTGTTTTTAATAAATGACTGATTTTTAGGTGATTTGAATCAGTTAATCCTAATCCAAAATATTTATCAAAAATTTGTTTATCCAATGATTCACTCACTTTGAAAGAATAAAAACGATATTTTTGAATATACTTTGTCATTAAAGTCAAATAAGACTTAATATATCGATTGTTCCCTTTTGCAGCATATGAAATTGTAGTAGCAAAATCAAACATGTATTTCTGATCAATGCATTTCGATATGTAATTATCAAATTCTTTGAAAAAAGCATCGATATCGCTGTTACTTGATGTCCGTAGCCTAAATAATCTACACAAAATATCATTGTGTTCTTTCAAAGAATCCATAAGTACGTCATAAGGAAATTCACTCACGAAAATGATAAAATTTTTCAAAAAATTTTCAAAAAAATTTCGAAAAAAAATAGTCGCAATAATTTAGAAAAAGTGTACAATCAGATTAATTGGGATCTTTGAATAACTGCATATTCCATTCCACAGCTTAAACTAATTAATGTAATATTAAATATATTTAACAATATCTTCCCAATTTAGATATTTTTTTGTATAAACTTGCTCTCATATGGCCAAGAAATACTTCAACTTCTTGTTCGAAATTTCAATTTTTATTCTATTTGAAGAAAACACCATAAACTTTATGAAATTGTGTAATTCAAATAAAAAAATTTGAAAAATAAGAGTAAAAAATATTTTAATTTCGTTTTTTTCGTGGAATATAAGCTTTAATTTGAAATCTTATCACGACAAATAGATACTAATTTAAACACATTATATAAGTCATTTCAATATATTAAAGAATTCCTACTTGCCAAAAATAAATTTAAAATAATATGAACAACTCATATGCCAAATAAATGAGAATCGCCAACATTTATGAGACAATCATAAAATTAAAAGTATATAAGCTGATTTGATATTATTGATTTCCGATTCTAATTTTTGAGAGAAATAGAATTACTTAGCTTTGCATGATGTTTTATTAAGCGGATATTTTTGAAACAATAGATAAAAATTATATAGTTTATATTCAATTTTTACATTATCAAGAAAAGTCGATATATTAATTATATGAAGAAAGTACAGAATCTGGTTTGCGAACAGTCTTTTCATAAGCTCGCTCGAAATCTTTTGGTAAAACAACATAACGATTGCGGCGTACTGCGTGCATACCAGCTTCCATGCAAATAGCTGATATATCAGCGCCACTAATCTTATCTGGTCTTGATACGAAGTCCTCGATATCTACTTCAGGAGAGAGATTCATCTTTGATGTAATAACTTGGAAGATAAGTCTCTTTTGGCGGCGATCTGGTAGTGGGAACTCGATCTTTCTATCAAGACGACCTGGTCTAAGAAGGGCAGGATCAAGAGTATCTGCACGATTTGTAGCCATAATGACTTTAACCGAAGTACTCTGGTCAAAACCATCCATCTGTGCCAGAAGTTCCATAAGAACACGTTGAACTTCACGATCTGAGCCATGCTCGGCATCAAAACGCTTTGTAGCAATAGAATCGACTTCATCAATGAAAAGAATAGAAGGAGAATGTTCGCGGGCGAGTCTGAATGTATCACGGACCATACGTGGACCTTCACCAAGGAATTTCTGGACAAATTCTGAGCCAACAACTGCAATGAACGAAGCAGATGTATGATGAGCGACAGCCTTGGCGAGCATTGTCTTACCAGTACCAGGAGGACCGTAGAGAAGTACACCACGTGGCGGATCAATGCCAATCTGTTGATATAAATCTAGATGTGTAAGAGGTAATTCGACAGCTTCACGAATTTCTTGTTTTTGCATATCGAGACCACCAATATCTGCATAAGAGATATTCGGTGGGTCTGTTACGATTTGTACTGATGTTGTTCCTTCTGGAGGTAAAACATCTACGAGTGCTTGCGAATGCTTATGTAATGCGACACTTGTATTTGGTTTCAAAAGATGACGATCTATTGTTTTCATGACCCTGACCAAATTTGGAGAGCCACAATCAACAACAGCATAGTTTGCATCAACCATTTCGACGAAATTGCCGACAAGTAATGGCACTGATTGTATTGATTTGACTTCCTCTTGTGCACGAACAAGTTCGCGCCTAAGATAACGAAGTTCATCTTTAATATATTCTTCTTTAATGCCAAGAAGTTCTAGTTCTCGCTCGAGTTCTTTCATCCTGGCATACTGCTCAAGAGAATTGTCCTCATTTGAGGTGTTTTCAGTCATCGATGAAAGTTTTGCGGTTTGACAGCTTATTTAGGGAATTTTCATATCACATGTCGATTGAACATTACAACTCAAAAATAGACTGTTCGTCGATCATTTTCGAGTTTATTACATTATCTCAAACATCATTGTTTCACACACATACATATTTTTGGTAAATTAATGAGAATAAACGAGATTTCATGAGATCAAAAAAATTTAACATAAAATTGGGCTATGTAGGTTAATACGTATAATAAGATAATTTTTTAGTTTATATATTTTAGGTGTTTTTTGTTTTTGATAAAAAAATAAAAATAATATACTAACGCATGGATTTTGAATTACATTGCTTTTGTATTTTCTTGAATGTCTGAAAGGGCGAGATCTTGGAATTGAGTGATTTTGCCTGGGTTTTCAGAGTCTGGAGCAGTTACTGTATGTTTTGGTACTTTAACGGCTTGTTCTGGTCTTTCTGCTTGTTTGATGGGTTCTGGCAGACCTTCAGGAATAATTGGAACTACTGGTTCATCATTCTTATTATTATCATCCGCTTCTTTGCACATTTGAAAATTGGAATTTACAACTCCGTTAATTCTCAAAAAGTGGAATATCGTAGCAAAAAATTCATTACTTAACCGAAATATAAGGATTTGCATGCCTCGAAAATACGCGCATTGAAATGAAATTCCAACCAACTTGGATAGATTTTTGAGAACACGGAATACAGACAATTTCTTTGTCATGGCTCTACACGAGATGATTATTGAGATAATAACCATTAATTTTTTTGTCAATAATGTTAATCCAGACCTCAACGAATGGATTCATCAAATCAATTTTGTAAATCCAGACAATCGGAATGCATTGCTGACATATAATGTGCTTTCTCTTTCAAATATTTCAATATAATTTCATATCCACATTTAGTTCATACAGCAATGTGTGCACATTTGTTTATCAGCTTTTATCTTAATCAATAACTTAAGAATCTGATCCCAAAGGAATAATGAATAGATCTACAGAGCATAATGAGTTCAAGAAAGCTTTTTAATGACATAGAATTTTTTATGCATACTTGGACATATATCATGAATGGTTTTAATCACTGAGAGTAAGTGAGACTTATTTCATAACTATTTACCCGATGATACAATCTTATTAAAATATCAATAAGAGAAGATATTGAATTGAACTTAATGCACAGTCAAAATAGATAATGGAAGTGATAGACATTATCGGTAAAGAAGCGATATTCTCATCGCATAAAATTGAAAAAATTCGACATGACCATTAAGAATATCTATGGATAATCATCATTTATATTAATAGATTATCTTATAAAGATTAGTCATGAATAATAGAATTTTCAAAAAGATCTGTAAGATTATTTTTGTACATTTATCCATAAAAAAGAAAGCAATTTATTATTCTAGCAGCTCTATCTATTACGAGTTAATCATTTGGGATAGAGTATCTCTTGCTGTCTGACAGTCAGTAGTAATTTGTTTGATTAAATCGCCAATTGAGTTAAATGTGATCATTGGACGAATATATGCCAAGACTTCAACCGTAATAATCTCTCCATATATATCATCGTTAAAATCTAATATGTGGACCTCAAATGTTGGCTCTTCTGTTTGAAATGTTGGGTTCTTTCCAATAGAAAAGACGCAAAATCTGTTTGGATCGTGTCTAACTCTGACAAGCCCGCAGTATACACCATATTCGTTAGGATTAACCTTTTCATCCCAAGACTTTGGGTCTATATTAGCTGTTGGGAATCCCAACTTTGTAGATCCACGTCCAAAGCCGTGAATAACTTCTCCACTGAACTGTTTTGGAAGTTTCATGATTGACTGAACAAAAATCTAGACGATAAAAAATATAAATTCAAAGTTTTTTTTATTTTTTCTGGCGGGAAGCAATACAATAAAATAATTATCTGTTTTAGAGCATGAGCAACATATTATCAACTCTTAGTTTACACCTGTGGGAACAAGATCTATTTTAGTAGTAGGATATGACGGGTTTAGTGACTTTTTTTGTTACATCTATATATAGACGATGCATTAAAATATATATTTATTTATAAATCATTAATAAATTAACATTAATTTTAAAATAATTTTTTTTTTTATCTTTTATAAAAGAAGCTATATATAGATGATGTCAGATATTCCGCGATTAATTAAACATTGTTTAAATCCTGAATGGGTTAAACTTCAATTTAAAAATGAAGATTGTGAATTATTAAATGAATATGAAAGCCAAAATAAGCTAATGAGGTATAAATATAATGATAAAGAATGTTTAATTTCATGGAATCAATGGAGTCATAATCAAAGACCTCATAAACGAGAAGAAGAAATTGAAAATAATGAAATGGCAATCATTGATGACATTAAAGAGGATGGAATTCCTAAATTTTGTAGAAAAACCTTTAGAACTAAGTTAGGAGCATATAAACGTAGAGTATTAAATCCTGAATACATAAAACATTTATTTAAAAAGGAAGACTGTGAATTATTAAACGCTAATGAATATGAAAATGCTAAATCAAAATTGAAATATAAATATATTGGAAGTAATGAAAGGTGTAAAGATAATGATAAAGTTTATTCAGTTTCATATAATAACTGGCACACGTTAGGGATAAGAAAACATTTAGGAGATTATGGGAAATGTTCTGAATTCTTTAAATCTAGTATGTACGAGAGAATAAAAGAAATTAGAAATAATTATTTTCATGAATGAAAGATTCACTACCATAATGAAATAAAAAATAAAATTTTTTAAAAAATAAACTTTAAAAATTAATGTCTTACATTTTTGAATAATTTATTTTTTTAATTCGTAAGAAAGGAGTGAATCAAAATTCGTGACTGTGAATCAATTAATGGATAAACTTTCACCAATTCTCACCCAGGTTAAACAAGTAGACGTTTATTTTGATGATTACATACAAAGTTTATTTTATAAAGGTAAGTTTAATATTAAACCTATTGCTTTTGCATTTGATGGTAAATTAATCGAAAATTCAAAAATTTGGGAATTAATTCCGGATATTGAATTTATAACAAATATTAAGGATAAATGGTTTAAACAACAAAACCACCTCACTAAAGTTCTTTGTAGATTAATGATTAAAACTGAGGAAAAAGAATTTAACAGGTTTAAATATCATCCATGTAAAATTTTAGAACTTGGTAACGAAAAACTTCAGAAAAAATTAAACGAAAGACTATCAAAAGATAAAGTTGAAAGAGTAAATAAACTCGCTAAAGGTAATGGTAATGATGAAGAAGAATTTGATGAGTTCAACATTGAACTTTAAGAAACTAATGATTATTTGAATTTATGAAATCAATTATTTGATTCATTCTTTCTTCAATCTCTTCTATTCTTTTTGTTAAATCATCTATTTTCATTAATGAGGTGATTCTTGATTGAGGAATAGATTTCAAACTAATCACTCCTTTTATTTTTGAAATTTTGAATCCGTCAACTTTAAACATTTTATTCAATTTACATGTTGTCAATTCTTCAAATAATTTTTTATTATTAGCATAATAGTCATTAAATTCTTCAACAGATGAAAAAATTTTTATTTCAGTAATTGGTTTAACAACGTTTATTTTTTGTTGAACATTTTCACTTTCATTTATTTCTTCCTCCTCTGTTTCATTTATTTTTAAAATCGGTTTCATTTATCATTAAATAAAAATTAGAATATAAGTGATGAAATATATTTTTTAATTAATATTAAATCAGAAATGGCTGCAGGATTCTTTAAAAAATTATGGGATGGAATTAAGAAAGCTGCGGGTTGGGTTTATAAAAAGATTATTAAACCCGTTGCAAACTTTTTGGCACCAGTAGCGAAAACGGCAGGAACTATCATAGGTGGAGTATTAGGTACTAAAGCAGGTAATCCGGCGATGGGAGCACAAGCAGGTAACGCAGTTGGTGGAATTGCTGAAGGAATACTTAATAAAATAGGAGGTAGATAGTGGAAAAATAAATTATTTTAAAATTATTTTTATCTTAGTATCGGTTGTAGTCTTTGATAAACTTTTTCTCCTTTATTTAAAATTTCTCTTATTGGGGCAGCTTTTGGCGTTATTGATTCAGCAACGTCACTAATTGCTTCTTTATTCTTAAATATCCAATTTGCCCCCTTCTTCAATGTTTCCCAAACTTTACTCGCCCCTTTTTACTCTATCCCACAGTTTCTTAAATATACCCGCAGCCATAGTTGATTATTTCATTAAAATTAAAAATTCATTTTCATCTTTTAATTTTGATTTTTTATTTATTAATAAATGACGACTAACTATTTAGTGCCAAACACCAAACCGATTAATGGAAATGTGTTTCATTCATTCGAAAAGATAAATGAAATATTCGCAAAGAATGACGGTAGAAGATATTATAGAGAACTTGAAAGTTCATGCTATGACTCTGATGCTCCATATTTTGATGATAAACAAACTCATTTAAGAATTACAAATCCAGCTCATGATGTGAACCAATTAGGTGACACATATATTAAACGCAAAGTTAAAGCAACTCTAGTTTCAAATAAAGCTTTCACATGTGATGCCGCTTTTAAATGCATGCGTTTATTCGTTGGTTACAAATCATCAAATCAAAGCTTTAAACAATTAGAAGTAGAAACTGAAAGAGGTGATGCTGGTTATCTTCAGATGGATTGCGCCCGTGAATCTTTCGCATTTGCAACATATAAACCAAAATCAGAAAGGAAAGTTAAAAAGTTTGTTCATTCGTTATATAATAATGTTCAAAAATATGATAACTCAGTATGTGGTAAATATATTGACCCTTCAGAAGTTTTCAAGAAAGCAAATGAAGAAGTTGATGTCACTTTTGATACGATTATTCCGGTAAATGATTTGTTAGCATTTCAGGCGTTCGATGATTATCCTAAATCATTTGGTGATATCATTCTTAAATATTATGTTTTCAGGGATACTTTAGTATTTTGTCAGGTTGACCGTTAAGAGTTGCTGATTTACAAAATTACGTTTATGAAAAGATAACTGATGAAAATTATGAAAAGATTATGAATCATGTTTATAAATATGATCGCAAATTCCAACAAATCGGACTTCCTGCCAAATTAATTACAAGCTTAGCCGCTACATCTGCTGACGCAACAGTTGATGGCGTTATTATTTCATGCACAAAGATGGAAGTTTTAGAGGATAAATGCATTACACCAGGATACGGTTTAATTGAAGAATCAGTTAAAGCAATACCACGTTTATTTAGTAAGGAAGATCCATTCATGATTCCAGCTCAACATATTGATGTTCGTTCACTAAATGGAGGTTGCATCACTCCTGAAGGTATTAGCTCAGATTTCTCATACGCTCTTCATAATGTTACAGATGTTGTGTTAACATTTCCGAAGAATGCAATGCAAAGAACAGTTTTAGAAAATCCAATGCTTCGAGGTCTTCAGGTCACTATAGATTCCAGAAACTTCCCCGATCAAGCGATGACCACAGTGGGTGACATATTCTTTACACGTATGCTTCAAGCTTCTGATTTAGATGGAGTGAATGAATGCACAGAAGAATACGAGGACTCATTAACTAGACCACTGAATGATGATGATGGCATGCCATTAGCTAGAACATGGAAAGACCAAACTTCATTCTTATGCACTATTCCAGTTCAACGTGATGGAGCGGGTATATTCTTTGATGATTAGAAACTTTCAACTCACAAGTTACAGTACAAGTGAAAGCTTATCCAATCATTCAGGGTGAAAATGACACTTACTGTTCAAAGGTGACAAATCCTCCTCAGGTTTGGTTTACTAGGACTACATATTGGACATGGACACCGGATGAAGGTTTGAAATATCATCCAACAGGTACACCACCGCAGTATAGAAGTTCATATGATGAAATATTGATGAATAGAAAGTTTTAAAATTATAAATTTATTTTTGATTAAATGGATTTAATTCATCCACCCCTTATGAAGAATTAGCAGGAGTATATAATACATACGTAGATGATATGATTAATGAAGCATTGAGTGATAATAAAATGCTCTATCTAAGGAAAAAATTAATGAAATTCCATATTCTGAATTACTTAAATTCAATCACTGCAGCAATTGGTAACAAAATAAAGGTAAAACATTAACGATATTAAAACAAATTATCATTATTGCTAACACCCCCCCATTCACATGTGTTAATTTATATCAACCGTTCAGGTTCACCTTCAGATGATACATTGAATCTTTAAAGCATTTAATCAAAATTCCAATTATTTATTTATCACAAGAAGAAGCAGAAGATTATTAAAAAACTTTTTAATGTATAAAGAATTATATAATACAATCAAGAAGCAAGGATTAGAGGATAAAATTATTGATAAACAACGGGATGAATTATTGAAACACTTTCTATTCAAATTTTGATAGAGAATTTTTGCATTCACTCATTTTTCTAGATGATGCGGTGAAATCAAAACTAATAACAAATGAGAAATCATATTTTAATCAGTTATTAACTCAATGTCGACACATTCAGTGTTCATTCTTTATGGCTGTTCAATATTTCAAAGCATTAAGCACAAACATTAAATCAAATCTATCAACACTTTCATTTTCAGTGGTTTAGTCGTCAACAGTTGAACGTTATGCTTTATCAAGTGAATTTACCAATGAGCATTAATGAACTTTACACACAATATCAGCAATTAGGTGAACATGGAAAAATAATATTGATTTAAATAAAGGAAGTGTTAAATTTGATTAACTTTTTATAATTAATTTTTATTTTTTATTTATAATTAAACATGACAGAAATAGCAAATCTTCTACAGGTTCCATTAAAACAAGGACAAACAAAAGGGTGCATATAATAGAACTATGAAAGTTCCTGATGGAATGAAAGAATTAGTTCATATTGTTGCTGGTCTTCAAAAAGATGTTAAACAAATGAAAAACGTTTTAACATTACCAGAAGCTCAAGCATATGCCAAACGTCATGTCCAAATTGGGAAGCACACGAAGCAGACATTACGGTCCAAATGGAAAACCCAATGTATAAATGAAGTTTTCGTTACTGATGGTCAAGGTAATATTAAAGTCATAAATGGTTATAAATTAACTATATCTGATTATCCTAAACGTAAAGCATATAATGAACGTTATCCTATGCAATTTGATGAAAATGAAAAGCTGTTAAACAATACATTGGAGAAGGTGAAAAATGGTCCAATTAATTCATACCGTCATAATCCATATTCTTATTTCAATGAAGAATTAAATGCTATTGAAGAGGGACCGGATGGATTACCACGATATTCTAACCAGTTTGATGGTCAATATGCAAATATTAGACCTGAAATTTCAGCTAAGAAATTCTTTAAAGTTGCTTTATTCGATCCAGTTTTCGCAAATGTTAAAGATGAACTTAAACAGCAATTCCAACCAATTATAGTAGCAAGAATTGCATCAGGTGCTTTATCTCAAGCATTCAAAGATTTAATTAAGAAACCATTATATCAGCAACGAGGTTTAACTTATGATTTAGTTAAGGAATCAGATAAAAGAAAATTTGAGAAATCAGATGATTATAAGAATGCAATTAATGAATATATTCGGTCCATTAATTTCGATGAAACAGCTAAAATCAACTTCATGAACAAATACAGGGAATAATAGATTCAAAAGTTCCAGCAAAATAAAAGTTTAAATATATTTTTTTATTCGAATATAAATGAGAAGACGTTTCACTAGTCAAAAGAACACTAACGCAAAAGCAGAGATTACGGTTGGTTATAACGTAAATGATGATAAATCACGAATTATTCAAAATGTTAAAGTTAATGTTAGCCCCGAATTAACAAGGTCAGCAACTCAACCAAATTTATTAACTCGTGACTTACCGAAGAATGAGGAGAATGAAGAAAACCATGAGAATGGAGACCCAATCATTTTATCTGAACCTGGTAAAGAACCTGTTGAAATTCCCACTTATCCAACATACCCCCACCTCTTTCATCAAACATCGAGAACCCATATAAAATAGACATTAATTCTGAATTAATGAAAATTAGTTAGTATACATATCATGGGTACGGAGGCACTGCGCGCCACCTTACCCTTGATATGTGAATTTGACACTTTACAAAACCGTTAACGTATATTTTACAACACAAACGACAACACTAACTTAACCTTAAATATTTACAAAGCCACCAACCACTTCACCTCACTAATGTAAAAAATAAACGTTCTCACTTACAAAAGTATTGCAACTCCTCCCATTGCTGTGCTTCACATAACAGCTCATAATCTTCTGACTCACTTTCTTCTTCATATAGGTCAAAGTCACTGTCAAAATAAATGTTAGTAAGTTTTGACAAAGCTAATGAAACACGCTTACCGTTTGTATCATATGCTTGTATAAACTTTCCATTATGTTTGTTGTCATAAACGCTCAAACTAACTTTACCCTTTCTCCCTCGTATCTGATAGAATGTATTTTCACGAGGAACGAAGAACAAATTCTTGAACTCATGACCGTTGTAGTTTGTTATCTCAATAGTTTTCGTCATTTATATAAAAATAAAATAAAAAATAAACTTAAAAATTAATGATATCACCACTCCCACACGTATGAAAACATAGCACAAAAATAAATTTAGGTGAAGTGGTGAGATCTCACCTCTTTTTTCACCCTGTTGAATTCATTGCTTTATAACTCTCTTCCTTGGTTTCTTTTTAGTTGCTTTCTTTACGTCCGTCTCCAACTTGACTGTCTTTCTTCTTCGTCCGTAATGATACCAGTTACTTCCACCAGTCAATGGGTCAAATGGTCTTTCGTAAGGGTTTCCATACATTCCATAGGGACCATACGGAAGAACTACTGGTGGAGAAGAAACATTTTCTTTAGTTCCATCGACTCTATTTAAATGTATTGTTTCACCTTTCATCTGGTCATTAAAGTCTTTTGCGTGTTTTGCAAACTCATCGTCCTTTCCTAAAGCATTTTCTGACTCAGTCGCAACCAAATTGGATGCTTTATTTATGAGCCCCATTTTATTTAATCTTAACTTCTTTGCAACCCAGCCTCCAATCTTCCCTTTATTTGCATCTAATGTTTTGAAACCCTTCCTCCACTCATTTTATTTACTGCGTCATAAGCTCCAAGTGCTTTTGCTCCAAATGCTAATGCTTTTGTTCCCATTGCGCCTAAAGCTGCCCAAGCTACCATTTACACCATATTAAAATCATCTCTCTTCAATATTATCTCATAAAAGTTCTCGTTACTGGAGAAAGTCAATGAAACATAAGCGTTCTCACGGGCTTCGCCCTCACCGCTTTGCGGTCTATCTAACTTATTTCTTATCTCATCTATACGCTTCAAAATGTCTGAACAATTGCTAACATCTTCTACACAATTATTTCATCATGAATGACCTTCAAGAACAAGCTCATTTAATATGCTATTAAAATCATCTCAATAATGAGTCCATCCTTTCCATCTTTAGGTAGCACAACATCTTTCATTGAAGAAGGTTCGACAAGTCTTATGTTAAACTTACTGACAAAGTTTGTTATACTATAATGCTTCGGCGGCGAATACATATAGTTTGAAAGACATAATATAGATTCTTCAGCAAATTCACTTATACTGGATTTTATAACAATGTTCTCACGAGACCAAATACCACCAATTGACAATCTTGTAAGCAATCCTGCTAACCTTCTACTGTAAACGTCGATGGTAACATTCCACGAAGGTCATCTATTGACATCGTTGAGTCACTGTATTTAAATATTTTCTTAAAGCAATCGTCATTATCTAACCATGCAATAGCTTTGAAGTTTTCATTTGAATATACATCTGCTTCATTAAATGTAAAACCTGACTTCTTTGCAGAGACGACTTTAAAATCTATTGAGTTTGTTTCAAAATTATATGCTATGGTAACTTCTGAAGGTAATGGATGCCCTTCCGCAGTCAGTTGTTCTCTCACTACCGTTTGAAGCTTTGTGTTAAAAACTTTCATGTCATCTCCTGTGTCTAGGTTCACATACACAGCAACAGGAAAACTATCTTGCTTCTTGTTTCATCATTATACCTCAAAACATTAAAGTTCTTCAATAATATTGTTCTTCCTGCTGGAATACTTCGAACTTGTCTGATTTCAATAGCTTTCTCACCTCCTATATACTCTACCCAGTGTCTTGGATATTCATAAGTATACTGACTTTCTTGAATTTTGGTAGGTTTCATCATAACGTGTTCATAGTATATCTTTATAGTCAGTTAGACTCGGTGCTATGTTCTGAATATTTCTGACTTGCATTTTTAATGGAGATAAAATGAAGCATTTAATACATGACGTAGATGAAGTCATGAATGAAACTACAGACAAACTTAACTCTTCTCTTATTCTTCCTTTCAGCAAAGATTATGAATTCTGTTCAAATGGTGTGTATTTCTATTGTGGAAAGATGGGTTCAGGTAAGACATTTAACCTCATTCGTCATATACTCATAACAGAGCGTTTAGGAAACGACTCTTACTATGACCAAATCATTATATCAGCAACTTCAGACTCTATGGACTCAACAGCGAAAACATTCATGTCAAAAGTTCAAGCCTCTGTCGTTAAAGTTCCAGATAGCGAACTCATTGAATTTCTTCAACGTTACATTCGACGTAAGAGAAAATATTATGCCATCGTAGAGTTCATACAGTCAGGAATGCAAAAGACTTCTGAGGAGATGGAAAGAATTATTGACAAACACCACTTACGTCAGTACTCAGGAGTTTACGATATGAAACGACTGACAAACTACATTCTATCAAAACTTTCAAAATACCCCTTCAAAAAATATCCTTCAAACACTCTGCTCGTTTGCGACGACTTCGCCGGAAAAGGTTTAGTTTCAAAGCCTGACTCACCATTAGCTAACATCATAACTAAAGTCAGACATTACCATTTAACTGTAGCAATACTTATGCAAACATGGCGCTTTCTTGCTTTAAACATAAAACGTCTCATAACTGACTTCGTTATCTTTCAAGGTTTCTCACGCTATGATATTGAACTCATATGGAAACAGTCAGGTATAACATTACCTTTTGAAGAAATTTGGGAAGCATATAAGTCTCTCATCTCTCCTCGTTCATACCTTGAGATTCATATCATGACTAATACCATTAAAGTCAAAAATATTCCATGGGAACGACCAACATTGTTTTAAAGTTTAACCTTCAATTGACTGATGATAAACAAATTCCATGCATCTCTGTCGCCATTTCTGTTAATATTTTTGCTGTCATTCATATCATCCACTTCTCCATCCGTTAGCTTTTGAGGATATGTTAGAATAGCTGTTCTTAAATGAAGGCTTCTCACCTTTGAGAGCATAAACTCTATAACTTTCTGCATACTTTATGTTTGAACCTCCTGAGCCATCATTGACATAAATTTTTATAGGCTTCCACCCTTTGTTCATGTTCCTGCTTCTTCCCTTAGCTCTTTTGTTCAGTAGTTCTACATCTTTATACACAGCACCTGTCTCAGTGAATTCAACAATATTTTCATTCGTTAGCTTTACATTCAAACCCTTGTCGAGTATATTTTCATTTCATACATATAAAAGGTTTTTATTCTATATGAAATGAGAAGCAAATCCATCTTAGCTGGTGCCGTTAATGTTCCAATTGAACCAACATCAAATGTTGACTCACGAACGACAAACAATATTGTCATAAAGAACTATAGTTCAGAGTGTTTGAAAAAAAAGAACCAGAACTTAAGTCGGTGAATTTAAACACAGCTTCAAACGCTAACGCTACATCAGATGTTAAGTTAGAGTATCCACCACTGGACCAAATTCTTTCAAGAGAAGCCAACGACAACCCTTACACAAATGTCAAACAAATCCTTCAGATAACGTAGACCATTACCTTCTTCAGTTATACCAAACAATTTTACTCAAAGACGATAAGAAGCTTTTGACAAATCTTATAAGTAAGAACCAAATAATTCTAACAAAGGAGGACCTTGAAAATGTTATATCACGAATAACAGGAAAGCAATGTGTCATTGACTATCTCGACCCTGAAATCGAATGCTGTGGTCAAACTCCACTATTCATGAAAATAGGTAACATCCGCATCATTGAAACACCAGGAACTACAGGAGTTGAGTTTAAGTATAGATATTCGAACGAGTATACAAAACTTTCAACAGAATATAAACTTTGTTTGAAATATGTTTTAGTAAATTAAAGCAGTCAGGAGGGCTCTTTGAGCCCATCTTGGCGCTTTGCGCCGTCAGTCAAAAAAATTTTCAAGTTAGCAATTTGTAATATCTATCCAAAACTTCTTCAACAGTATCGAACTCATCTTCATAATGCAAACCTAATCTTATTGACTTGGTGCAGTTTTCACTAACACAATATTTTTCTGTTCTCTTGACTGACATAACTAACTCATTTGTTTCATCAAACAGCAACAACCAAAGTTCATGACCTAATACATAACATTCATACTTTATATTTTTAGCTCTGAGTTCTCTTGTAAGCTGTTGCATTTAATATTTTCTAAAAAGTCAACTTCAACAGTCATTCGCACTGGTGCCTTCAGTTCTACAGGCTCTCCTTGAAAGTCAACAAGTCTGAATTGCATGTCTTTCAAATTATGAGGACTAATGCGAACCCATTTACCTAAATGAGTTGCTATGACAGGAACGTTTGGAATGAACATTGAATTTACTTCATAACAGAAAGATTTATACTCTACTGAACCTTTACTATTAACTCCTGAAATGCCTGTGACATTAGCTATTTTAGACTCAATGTATAAACAATTACCATAACATACATATGGAACAGATTTCATCTCAATCGTTTTGTCAACGCTTTTTAAAGGAAATGTCATATGGTATGTACCCAAAAGAAGTTGTACTCTATGACTCATTCGTGTTATCTTAAACTCCTTCTTGCTACTGAACTTCAATGTTCCCTCAGAAGAGAGTTCGACATCTATGTTGTCAATAGTTTCTTCATTTATGAGAGTATCTATGACTCCAGCAATTTTATCTATTCTATACTCTGCTCTGTTAGGAAATGTTATAACACTTCTTTTGTCATCTATTTCAATCTCTATGAAATCTTTTCATCTGTTATGAAAAGTTGCGATAGTATTGAAGTCAACAACTCTGAAAGCAAGCGCTTCATTCTGAAGACCTAAGTTTGTTTGTAACTTTACTGTCCCGTATTCGTTTGGGTCTGTACTTTGCAAATAGAACAACATTTTATTCTCATTAAAATATGACTATTGCTGCATATGCGTATGAAACAAATGAAGCAAGAAGAGCACATGAACTAGTAAACGAAAACTCAACTTTAACCATTGAAGGCAATGATTTAGTCATTGACAATGGAAAAACTAAAAAAGTCATTGATTTCGATACTTTTAACACGTATGACCCATTCATTACAATAAGTAAAGTTCCTATCATAAATGATGGAACGGTGCAATATATAAATTCTACAGTAGATGCCTCATTAGTGAAAGTATTAAATGTTCTCATTGAATTGTTAAAGAGCTTTCGATTTGACGACAACATTAAATGCCTAAAGAATTTAGTCATGAATGAGAAACAAATTCTCGGCGTTGCTGGTAACAGTAATGATGTACACCTTATGACATTAGAATATTATAACGAACATAAAGATGAACTGAAAGGAGAGAAGGGTGACACCGGACCTCAAGGACCACAAGGAATACAAGGACCTCAAGGCGAAAACGGTTTGGATGGTGAAGATGGAAAGGATGGAAAAACTGCTAAATCATGGATATGGAACCTTATAAATACTGGTTTAACAGCTGCTTCATATGGAGTTCTTCAATACCAAATCGGAAAGATATGGGCGGTACTTGGTGAAGAAGTTTTAAATGACGTTAAAAATGCTTTGAACTTCATTTCAAATGGTTCGGATACTATTAAAACTTTATCTGGTTGGATGCAAGAAACAAGGAGTCAAATAGATACTGTAAGACGTATAGCAAACAATGCACGTACGGGATTGGATACTTTACGAGAAGCACAAAATACACTAAAGGAAGCAAATGATATTCTTGGCTCAGTATCAGACATGCATGAAGATTGGTTTAAAGGTATTGACAAATCTTTAAAAAATCACAGTCAGTCTATTGCTGACTACAAGAAAAGTATAGATTTTTTACATAGTGCTATGGACGTACATGATGGAAGCATAAGGAACTTACTTAATGCTAACAATAACTTACCAGGAACTATTAAAGCATTTATAAAGTCCTTTGTAAAACCTGGTGCTCTAACATTTAGTCTTTGAGAGCAAGAGCATTGAAGTCAAGAGATGCAGAAACTCCAACAGAACCTACAGAAGGAACTAAAACAACAGAAACTCCAGAAGAACCACCAAAACCAACAGCTAATGAAATATTGTTCGAATATTTTCCAAGGTACTCTGTTCTCATTGCATACATTCAAGAAATACTTAAGAAAGCAGACTTGACTTTAGGAGATGATGAAAGTTCTGTATATCTTTCGTTCCAGTTTCAAATAGCAGAACTTTTGAGACAGATATGCTTAATGTATGACAACATCTCTGATTTCACAAGATATGATGACGACCATGACCCCGAACACGGTGAAGAAGAAGTTTTACAAACATCCATTAAGACAGGAAAGGTTTTAACTCAAAGTCTCATTATTGACACCAAAGATGGCGAAGTGGACGTTCTTCAAGAGCTGAAGAAAAATACTTCTTCGGGAGGTGGTGGTAGGCATGAACTTGAAATAAATGAGATAGAAGAGAAATTAGCCGAAAAAGCAGATAAAAACCATGTTCATTATATAACTTCAGACGAACAGATTATAACGGACTACCATGGATATTTAACACAGGATGAAGAAGTGAAGACGAAAGATGTTAATGAAAGAAGATATAAATTCATTCGTGCTAAAGGTTATGACATAGGCTGTACTGTACAGTATGATGTAGCTAAAGCACCAGAAGCATTTGGTTATACTGGTGAAATTTATGCTTCATACTTCTTTGTTAACGGTGTATTAGTTGAACCAAGATTTACATTGAGAGTTAAGGCAAAAATAACTTTTGAAGATGCTATTAAAAGTAAAGCTGACAAAGATGAACTTGACGCAATGAACAAAGTTTTGAAATCTCATAAACACAATATCTCCGATATAAATGAACTTCAAGCTACATTAGACAGTAAAGCCGACAAGAACCATACACATGAATCCTTCACTACTGTTAGAGCAGACGACATAATATTGAACTATACCCTTGGTTCAAGTGCACCTTTAGAGAATCCAAGTACAAGCGTAAAAGATACACTAAACTCCTTAAATAACAAATGTATGAATATCGAAGGTCATGTCAGAAACTTTGAAACACATGAACTACCAGCAATGTTAGATAAGAAAGCAGATAAAGAACATACACATAACTCCTTCTCAACTGTTGCTATAGAAAGTATTGAAGGAACGGTTGGCGGAACTGGTGGGGATGCATTATATTATAAACTCCTAACTTTCCACAAGGTTTAACATCGAATGAAAACATAACAACGAAGAAAAAAATTAGCTGTAAAAATGTTTATGTCATGGGTGATGAAAATAATGTTAAATTCACTGCTCAAGATTTATATGATAAGAAAGCAGACAAAACAGAGCTTCAAACATTAAAGACTGAAATACTTCAAACATTATATCCTGTTGGTTCTATTTATACGTCAATGAATTCAACAAATCCGGCAACAGTTCTGGGTTTTGGTACATGGAAGCAGATTGTAGACAAATTCTTATATGTACTAATAATTTCCAAAACAAGCCGGTGGTTCAAGAAAAATTAAGTGACGCAAACGTTCTATACTTCACAAGAGTTAGGCAGTAGTTTTGAAACAAAAGAGCTTTCTTCCGCTGAAGTGCAACGATACTACATAATTATTATGTCATAAAGAACTTCTAACATTGACTTACTTCAGTATTGCTTTAAATCTTCTCCGAACAGAAAGAATATTAGAGAAGGGTGAACAAATGTGAAATATTATCTGCTTCATCTCTTTTTGCAGACATAACGAACCAAAGATGTTACTACAAGAAAATTTTCTTACACAAAGGTTGAAGAAGCTGTCTATTGACATTGACGAGGGAAAGTGAATGCGTTGAAGAAATAGACCTCTGAAGCCTTATTTAAGCAATAATATAATATTTTTGAATAACTGATGGTGTCCTACGTCACCATGTCACCCAGGTTAATTAACTTCTCTTTAAAAATTGATGACAACAGACTATTTTATCGACAACACAGCAGGATTAATGTGCAAAAATGAAATGTTATCCGCATTTCATGTTATCCGGCTTAATGTTATTCGTTAATGTGTATCAGTGTCGAACATAATGTGACGTTAGGATCATGACTTCTTCGTAAATGAGCTGTAAATATAGCACAAAAATATATTTAGGTGATCGAGGTGAGATCTCACCCGTTTTTTCACGCTCTTTTTTTCACCTTCATTCTCTTTCGTTAATGTTGTCGTGACTTCATCATAATGTTGTCGTGATATTCATTCTTCTCTTTGAAGTTATCGAAATATTCTGTATTTTTTCCGCTTCAGTAATTTAAGTCCTTACTTTGAATGGTAATATTGTGCAACTTTGATGTCCATAGTGTGTTTTAGGAAGAGTAATTTTTGGAACAATTTCCTTTAATTTTGCTCATATCGTGTCATTTGAATGGGTAAGTTTTTCACGATAGAACCAGCTTCTCTGTCAGAATTCTATATATCTTAGCTAAGTCATAAAAGCTCTTGCTTGTTCTTCTGACTAATGCTAACATAACCTCATCTTTATCTTCTTCTTTCTCCAATTCTTCAGCTATATTATCACTATACTATAACTCTTTTTCCTCTTCCATTATGGTACTCGAACGCGGTATTCTTTTCTGTATGCTTTTGTTCTTTGGAATTCAATGACTTCATTTGTTGCTTGAACGTTTTCTTTTCCATCTCTCCAACGTTTCTGCTTTATTATAGTTTCAATCTAACTATCATGAAATATAACAAGCCATAACGAGGTGAAGCCCATATTGCCTACAGCGTTTACTAAGGTCATGAAACATAATAACTTTTCAAACCAGGAGCGCCAAAATTCTTGCGCATTATTCATACGGAATCTTCTTCTCTCAGATCTTTCCGAGCCCCAGGGAAATCAATATGTAGGAAATTCTTCTAAAAAGCTTCCTTTTGATCTGTTGGCTTTTCAAACCCAATGATATGATGCTTTGCTAGAACGAAGAGTCAATCTCATTATACTTTGCATTTGGTTACATGTCCATCTTTGCACTGAACGAATGAACGTAACTGTTTGTTATACTGTATGTAACTCGTCTATTCTTCATATAGCTTCCATGCGATCTATAAGTGCTGTTTGTTGGTTCTGATGACGTTGTCATTACTGTCTTTACATACAAGAAAGTAAAAAAATAAATAAAAGATAAAACTAACTTTATTTTTCTGACTTCACCAAAAAAGACCAAAGAATAAACGTTTACATGTATTTTTTCAGCCAATATCGTCAAAATAATTTTATAGCTTTATTCTATCTCATCTTACTTCAAACAGTTTCTTTTTACTTTCTGTCGCTGGAGCAACCATACATTTTCTCAAAAACTTCAAGCATTTCGTTTCAAGCAGCTCTCAATCATTACAAACACAACCTTGACTCTATTGACTGTACTGCATAATCTTTGAGTTATATTATATGTCCTTCCTATCTTATATCTTTTTTGTGTTGAAAGTCCTTCGGTTTCTGAACGATGTAAAGTATAAGCCTTCACTTGCAACGTTCGTATGAATGAACATATAGTTATGAGTTATATCCAACAACTGGGTCTAACCATAACAAAACTATTGGTATAAGCATTTTGTTCTATAAGATATGCTCTTGTTCCATGAAGTGCTACTCGATATCATAGCTCAGGATTTCTTGTCAAAATTTTCTGAGTTGAAGCATTTCTAACCCAGTCGTTTGTTTTCTTTCCAGATGGAGATATAATGTCTGACAAAGAATATTTTGTTTGTATTTTCTTTGAGTATTACGTTTAAATCACCTATTCTAACGCACTTTTGGTGTCATTGTCTATCTTTCTAACTGTTTCAAAGCTCAATGTTTGTCATACTGTCTCTTACATACAATAAAAAAATAAATTAAAAATACAAATTAGCGTTATTTTTCTAAACTAATGAAATTCATTATTTTTGTGCTGAATTCAATAAAATAATTTGTTAGGTGATAAGAGTGGTTAGTTTTGTCACCTAATGTTTTCACCTCTTTTTTTCACCCTCTTTGTTTTCACAAGCGTTTTACATGAATTGTACGATGTATATTTGAAATCCTAAACAATTTCGTAGCTTCAATTTCTTCTTTTAGTACACGAATGTTTAATCATACCGAAAGTTCTCTTTATATTTCTATGACGGTCAGACAGAAGGAAATGCTTCTGCAGTTGGAGAGTTTTTGTTCAGTAAATGTCAACATATCCATTTATTTCCTGCTGGCTTTTCTGCTTCTTTCTTTAAGTCTGCACTAGTTCGTTTCGCATTCTTTCTATCTCTTGACTGATGTAGATTATAGTTTCTTATTGCTGCTTTACATTTTGAACATTGCGGCGATTCATTTTTGCGTTATATCATTGAAATAAAACCAGCTAGAACAACTAAGGCGTCAATGGTTTCTTTAACTCAAAAGCTGCTGGTTTTAACTGTTCATCAATACCTTACCTCTTCTATCTTTATCTCTTATTTCCCAAACACATTTTGCAACTAATGAAAAAAGTTATCGTATGTCTTAAACTCCACCGATTATATATTCAGAAATATTTTTATAAACGCATGTCGCAATCTTTGTCCATACTTTATGGTTGCATATGATATCCTAAAATCAATTACTTTTTACGGTATGAATTTCTTTATTTCTACTGAGTCAGTTGGTTTCACTTCTATTTTGTTTCGAGAATTCAGGAATAGTTAGTTTTTGCTGTTGGATTTCAGGCAATTTGGGGTAAATGGTCAATAATGTCCTGTATTTCATAAAGATACATGTTCATTTGTTTCATCTTTTCGCACTACAGTCTAGAATTACTTGTAAAATTCTTTCTTTATCTTCTGGATTCTTTCGCAAATATATGAAGAAGGAATAAAGCTTTTCATCTCTTACCAA